CATTCGACTATCAATGGCAACACGCCACAGATAGTACAGAAATTGAGCCGAATGAACTTTCACCAGAAATGCTTCCTGAGTTTTTCCGCCGACGCAGACTCGCGGCTGCTGAACAACTGCCTGATAAATTCGCTCGTGCCGCGCAAGAGAATGCTAGGGACGATATAAAAGTCCTTCTTCAGCAGCTTTTCGGTGTAGGTGCAAAACACTCTGCAGCACATATAACTGCTAAGGGAGGAGCAGAATACTCTGGAGAGGCATCAACGCGTTTTTACCTTGGATTGCCGCTGGCGAACTCGCTCGGGCATCCTTGCCTCAGACCATCCCCCGTTATGCCATTGGTGAATCAGCAGCTGCTGTACCCGCAAAACATGTTGGCAGCCCCAGTTGCCCCTACCTTGAAGCCTTATGGGAGTCATGCAGGCTGGCATGATAACCGATTTGCTAGCCAGGTGGGCAATGGGATAGGGCCATTTGCGCGCCAACAGGAGAAATCCAAATCCGCTAGTTCTGTGAGCTCTCCAGAGCAACATATCCCGGTTTTGCAAATGCAGTCGTCTTCACAAAGTACGCAAAATGCCAAAGGAGTCAGAGACGATCCGATTTCAACTCAACAGCTGAACACTGCAGCTCATCCTGTGGCTACGAGCACAGTTCCGGGGGAGCATGGTTTACTCGGCAATGCAACAACAGCCACCACCAAAACAACACCTGTGAACGTGGAGGGGAGGAAACCTCGCAGGTTGCAGGACGGCCGTCAATTCTTCATCAATGGCCCAACGGAGGACCTTGTAACCGCTGGCAGTACTCTTAAGGTGGTGGGTTCACGAAGTGAAGGTTCCGCCAAGACAAACGGAATACTGCTAGGTCGACATAGAAGACGCCTTGAAGGACTGGATTTCATTCCAGGTTGTTGGGAAGTAAGTTTGTGAGTTTGTCGGGTAAAGTATCTCATGATAAATTTGCCAGAAATCAAACTTTGAGCAAATGTTCACGGAATGCTAAGATCGGCATCGCGTTCTTTCGGTTTCTGCTGCTGCTGTAGGAGGAAGTACAAACACCAATTGACTGGACATGCGATCCGCCTTACGCCTTAGACCGCGAGCAGTTTGTCTGCATCAGAGTTGAGTTTACGGGTCCCAACATAGTCTGCGATGGGAAGCCACAGGGTGACTTCTGTGTGCACGAGGTAAGTTCTTTCAGCTATGTTTTTGTGTAGGTTTCATCATTTCACTTGCTGACGCAGCGAGAGCCGCTCCCATCAAAACCAGAACATTCTTCAAGCTGGGTTTCTAGAAGTTATCCTTGAGACCTTCCTGAAAAAGGTCATCATTCGGGATTCACTATTTCGCGATGCTTTCTACGAATATGGATTTATATAATACGTAGGCTGCACCTTCTTCACTGGGTTGTTGGGTCGGGATGTCTGGTCTTTCAGGTGCAGAAGCCTCCTCAGTGGTATTGTCCACTTGATCCACCACCGTCAAGCAAGGAAAAGAAAGATAAACATGCAAAAGATCAGTTACAGAAGAAGGGGAGGGAGAAGGAGGAGCCTAAATCCCCATCCAAAGAAAAGCCAAAGGAGTCG